CATTATTAGCCTTGATGACTACTACCCTCTTAGCACCACTATCCGCCAGAGAATATATTCATTATCCTTGATGACTACTACCCTCTTAGCACCACTATCCAGGAGAGAATATATTTTTTTGTCCTAATGTCTACTCCCTTACCCACATATGAATACGACACGTGAAGATCTGGGTTAGAATTGGTCTTCAGCAACCCATACTTGTCGTAAGAGGCGACTGACGGGATCGGGTGGTCAGGCTTGGTGACCTGGTTGACGCATGTCAGCGGTTCCCAATTTCGTAGATCGATGCTCATGCTGTTGATCACTGTATTGTCTGGTCCAGACTTAATTATTTACAGACCGCCGTCATATAGCTGGAATATTGCTGAGTGAGGCCGGCGTTAAGCACCAACCAACCAACATATGAATCCATGTCAAGAGATATGGCGATTATTATTCTCTTAGCAACACCACACACGAGGAAATACAGTTTCGTGAGTCTCTAAATATCACTACCCGTGAAACACATGCGCATTCCAAACATTACACTAATCGCTTGTCATCTGTCATACGCGAACCATTTCTGGTGTACCCCGCCGTGATGTTGCTGGAATGTTGCTAAAACGGCGTAAAACCATATTCATTCACTCATTCACTCACTGTTTTCACTTTCATTTCATAACTACCCACAGACCGAAGAATGAAGATAATCTGATGTATATACAACTTGTTTGTTCTGTAAAAGGCGATGTTTCGACATAGATTCTAATGTGGTTGTCAAGCTACTTCATCTTCATCGCCTCAACTCCTAAAAATGCCCATCAAAGAAATTCCTACAGACCATTGTGTAACTTCGAGAAACAAAATATTCCGTTCCCGAAATTTGTTTGGCTCGACTTTTCTCATGAAACTTGTTTTAATTCTCCGGCTAAAAGCAAGATATGACAAGACATCTCCAAAAGAGTTCAGGTGCATGTTTTCACCTTTAAAGTTGCAACACATCCCTTGGCTTTAATCAAAATGTACAATATATTTACACGGGTATTTAACACTGCATCTGTCCACATAGCCTGTCTCACAGTCCCTTTATCTGTGCCCACATCCAAGCACCACGGCCAATTTATGCCAGTGTAAGCGGGACATGTTAATACTTCATCCAAATAGATAAACAGAACATTATGTCAATTCAGCGTTTAGTTTCCCGACCAATAGCAGACTATCGCTCTTGTGGGGACGGAGATTACCTACTTGAAACCTTATGCACAGTAGGTATAAAACCCTGAGTCAGGGTTACTAGAGCGTCGTGCATGCACATTTGTATGAAGCTGCTTGCATACATCTGTGCATTAAATAAGCACCACCCTGTATTTTTACCAATTAATTTTGTCTGAAATGAAATTCTAAACTCTTTCCCAAAAATAACTTTTATAATTTGACAGAGCAAGCATTTAACATTTCAAAAACGAAAACATCATTGAAATTACCATGTATTTTAATTAGGATAATTGCCAATATTTAAAACAGGTGTTTTTCTGTCCTAAAACAAGTTGCCTTCTTTTGAAAAGTGAAAGTAATAATTGATTGTTGTGTGACCTATAAATTCGTTATTTATTGTGAATGGATGAAAGTTTGTAAACTAAGATTTAGGAAAAGTTACAGTCAAACTAAAAAAAAGGAAAATTTTCATCAACATATTCTTTCATAAAGAATAGAAAAGGTTATGGTATTTGTAAAACTGTCAGTGGATAAAGCTTCTTTAACTACAGGTTCATTAAATTGATGGCTATACCCTAACTCTTCTGTAGCATCACATCTTCTTTTCAAAATAGGGTGGTGCTTAATTAATGCACAGGTGTATAGAGTAATGTGTCTGCAATATATACGTCCAGAGTTAGGCCGGTTTTGTTGGACTTGGATACCATGCCACAATTTAACATGGATACCCCACTTTGGCACAATGCATAGGCGGATCAAGAAATTTTCAAAGGGGGGTGTTCAGGGGGTTCGATGTGGTCTTTAGTCGTGTTTCAAAAGGGTTGGTCCCCCCCCCCTCCCCCCCCCCCCCTTTCTGGATCCGACACTGCAATGTACTGACAGGTCCTACCCTAGTGAAGCAACAAGTACTATGTTTCGGTGTATATGACATGGCCATCGTTGAGGAATATTTAGTTCGTATGTCAAAGCCATTGTTACGTCACAGTATTCCCCTTATTCCGGCCTTGAGACATCGTAACTTCACTTGTTCGGTGAAATCATATGGCATAACTTATATATACAGTCTGTGTCATTCTGATTTTACAAATCGCGTGTGAGGATTCTTATTCTCTCACCCGTGAAGGTCCAGGTTAGAATATTGATCTTCAGTAACCATGCTTGTCGTAAGAGGCGACTAACGGGATCGGTTGGTCAGGCTCGCTGACTTGGTTGACACATGTCATCGGTTTCCAATTGCGCAGATCGATGCTCTTGCAGCTGATCACTGGAATGTCTGGTCCAGACTCGATTATTTACAGACCGCCGCCATATAGCTGTAGAGTATCTAAGAAAATAACTTCCCTGGGTTTTCAAGATGTATTGCTATGTAACAGTCATATACAAAAACGAAGTTTCTGTTCAGTGGTCCAGGAACGATGCTATCAGATCTGACCTCCTGAATATATGTAATGGTAAATTGATATGCCAGATATAGATAAACTGGCCACCATTCTACACGTCGGTGATATTTGTTTTGTTGCAGCCAAAACCTGCCAAGGAATTGTATTGCAGCGTCCTCAGATGCTATATGTATAAACTTTATATCCTTTTACTGTATTTTAAACTGTTTTATAGTCTCCCAAAACTCCTTAGAGGAGGGGGGCGGTGGGCTAGCCTAGTGGTTAAAGCGTTGGCTCGTCACGCCGAAGACCCGGGTTCGAATCCCCACATGGGTACAATGTGTGAAGCCAATTTCTGGTGTCCCCCGCCGTGATGTTGCTGGAATATTGCTAAAAGCGGCGTAAAACCAAACTCAGTCAGTCAGTCATTCCTTAGAGGACCTTACCTTTTATGATAAGATGTAAAAGTAGAGAGACTGAAATAAACTTTTGTCTGTCTGTCTGTCTGTAATATTGCTGAGTGCGGCGTAAAACTAAACTCACTCTTATTCTCTCGGTCGGAAAATACAAGAATTCCGACACTGTTCTAAAACCTGTATTACACATATGCTTGTATAATAATCTTATCGATTTGCATCAGCTCAGTTATTTGTAATCACAATAAAAATAAAGACGTTTACGTGGTGTTTTACCATGTAAAAATAACCAGTTATATATTAATAATTATCTGAGTCCACTGTTCGTATCCAGTATCACTTAGGAGATAAACACAGTATGTTTATCTCCATTCTACCATAACCGCGGATTTAAAGATTTTAAAAAGATACATACAGTGTTGGAAAATCAGAGGTATAACGTGGTCATGTACCTCTGAATGACTTTAATTAACCAATCACAATCCAGTATTTACTGAAGTCATGGTAAGATACAACTTAAAACACCACTGGACTTGAATGTTGAACAACCTTTGAACAACCACTGCTGGCATCAATTTGTTGACATGTTAAACTTCATATATATTCACAGATTAATTATATACTACCCATCAAAAGTTTAGACTCACTAGTGTAAATGTAGCCACTTACTTCGGGCAACTGTTCTGAACTTGACTTTGCAAAATATTCCATTCAGTTTAAAGGTACTGTTTACACATGAACTAATGTATTGTAAAACAAGTTCGTAACGTTGAAAAGATTATTGTCATGAGTTCAATAAATGATGAAAATCAGTGAAAATTGGCAAATTCTTCACAAACTTTGCATCAAAACGCCGCTGTTCATATGATCGATATTTGCACATGCCTTTTAGCAAGTTTATGCATGATCCTCGTACAATTCATCTGCATAAAGTTTGCAGTTGGTTTCCCCAAGTTAGTAGAGAAATTAATCTTCGATGTAACCATATATTATACATAACATATAGTGAGTGCTTTAGGTGAGTCTTAACTTTTGATGGGTAGTATACATTGACGCTCTTAAGCCCAGGCGACATGAGTGGCCAAGTGACCTATGTTGCCACCATTTAGCTGTGCAGAGTTGTGTCCCTTGGTTTGTGGGTTCGAATCCCGGTTCGCGTTGATTATGTTTGTAGGCTGGTCCGCACCATAACAATATTATGGAGTTCGACAAAATGGTAACTTTCGAAAGTCGGGCTTCAAGCTGACACGCCCTGCCAGAACTAAAATTCATCTCAAAGAAGGCTTGAACCCAGTTAACTAGCTCCCGTCCCCAGTTCAGGTCTCGCGTGAACTTGGAAATAATTAATAAAATATTACGTTGGTACGTTTATAAACATTATATTGTCGTTTTGTATTTCGTTTTGATAAAACAATGTTTGATTTCTCTTGATGTTTAATGTAGGCCTATATACTGTAAGTCAGTTTTAGTGCGGGGATAAGGTACTTCGTTTAATTTGAAGTTTATATTCTACAGGCATATATAATCATATTGTGATTTAGTCTATTGTTGATATGAATTTGTAAACTGAATTGCATTAAATTTGCCTTGACTTCAATGATGAAAGGGGTAGTTATTACGATGCAGCATAGAACTTCAATTCACCAGAACTGAAAATGCAATTTTGGCGTGATGTGCTCTGAGATGGTTTCATTCGTCCTCATTTGATCTGTCTATCAGATTATGATAAGCATGTATCAACCTGCCCCTCAATTATTTATGCTTATTGATTATTTACATGCAATAGACGAGCTTTTTTGAGTCAGGTCTGTTCCCAGTGAAATCAATATGAATTTATCCGCAGTTCAGTTTACGGAAAACGTTGTATTTTCTGATCAACTACTATGAAACAAGCATTTATTACAATTTGGAGAAGGTTATGTCGACCAACCCAAAATACATTTCAAAATAGCGCATAGAAAATTTATCCTTTAGTATCGCCTAACTCGACTCCCAGGGCGATGGCAAGGTTGCGCAGAGAAATGCGCACTAGGACATCTCTAAATGCAAATAGTATGTTGTGAACGCCATCTTGAATCGTATCTGGGAGAGTGGTAGGGTTATCGTAGAGATATCAATCCAACCGAGTGCCATCGAAGGCACTCACACCTATTGCTTGTAATTGGTGGGCCTAAAGATGGCTACGACCGATGGTAAGCTGTCGACGACGGAGAGGGTTGTGAAAAGTAAGTTTCATAATGTGAGAAGTCTTCTGCGGTTCCCTTCCCCCGCCATGATAGTAATGTCGGCCATTATCATAAGCATAAACGCTAGGACGCCACTGTTGTCAAAATTTTCAGCACGCGAAACTGGCTCACCGATGTTATGCTTTGACTATCTACACATACTTTCTTTTAACAGTTGTTTGCCTTTGCAGAATTTTGCTTTCTGATTTTGACAGCTCTGTCATCTCGGAGTAAAATATATTTTGCTTGCAGATGTGTCCATATAATATCCGTAGTAACGGTACGTTTGGTGCACTGTTATTGTAACGTTTTTGCTAATAACCTTTTCCTGAGTGTTATGTGTATATTGTATTTAAAATCCACGTTATTGCGGGAGAAGATATTTTGCAAATCGCCATTCTCTGACAACAGACCATAAAAGGACAGATTTGGTTTGACTTGGAACTAACACCATTGCATGCGAGATCTTGAAATACCCTGAAATATTCTTTATTATCACAATTCATGCTAATTCTTTTATATTTTGAACTACTGAAACTCATATAATTGAATACGTTGTTAAATGTTTTGTACAGAAATACAGCACTTCCTTCTTCAAATGTCATAACATCTGTGGCTTCCATGGTCTGACAGGTGCCCTGGGTTTGGCAGCCAGTCACTGTCATTGCCAAAGGAATTACACTATTTCAGAATTTTGCTGTTAATGTTTCATTTTGCCTGTGTATGTCATGTTCACAATTTAGTTCCCATAATCTTGTTTAGTGAGTACAATTTTTATAGAAGGAAAGGGTACAATTTGTGATTTTCCTTATCTGTATGCCCTTATTAATGAAAAAATATATGAACAAACTAACATCTATGGTCATGGAACCATTAATGCTAATATTTTCCCAATTTGATTACAAAGGTGAACGACTTACTCTCTCCTCACCTGCATCAGTGTGCATTATCATATTGCAGCTGTTTACATGCTTTGGGTACATTAGATTGGACTATTCACAGCTGGTGCATTTAACCACTTGTTGAAAGCTAGAGAAAACAAATTTTCACACCTGCTTCTATTCACTATATATGATATGATGCTATTAAGGTAAACCAATATATGTACTGTAGAACTGTTCAAAAAGTAAAATATGTGCTCATCTGTTATTTTGCCAGTGTTCTTCCAAAACATGAGTTGGTTTGAATAATATTTTGCCCCAAATATGCAGCTAGTTGTGTCAGCACCATTCCCAGGGTTTCACCATTGTGGTAACTTTGTAATGCGTGCATTATTCCTAATGTAAGCTGATACGCTGTGTTGTGACTGGAATACTGTTCAAAATAACATTAAAAATAACTCACTCCAGTACAAACACGGAAAGTGTTCACATTTGAACTGCAACAGCTTTGCTTTAAAAAAGTGTTAATTTGAGCATAAAACACATTTTGTTATAGGTTTGTAAATAAAACCCTTTTCAATCAAGAGTGTCAGTGATCCTGATCAAAATAGGGAGGAGCCAAATGATCCCAATTTATGAAATGGAGTAATTTCATGATCAGGTCCAACATTGGTAGCAATAGAAACAAGTAAACACACCTTTTTGTGTCACATCTTATCATTTCTATGTCAATGTTAATCTTCAAGCATATGAAGTAGAATGATTCATTATTACCCAATATTTGTCTTCAATGCTTATATTAGTAGTTGCTGATGAACCAGTCATCAGTTAAAGTTTAATTTAACAGATAGCGAAATCAAGTCGTCATTTTACTGTGTTACAAAGTGTTGCTTAAATTGCACTCCATACAATGCAAACATTAGTTTCAGCTTGACTGACTACTAAAGGAAAGACACTCTGGGAAATGGGAAAAATTGTTATTTTGAACTATTACTCTGAATGCATATCTTGCACATTAGACATGTATGCAATCCATCAATAATATTGCTTGTGGATACACTTCACTGCTTCAGTTATGGTTTTCCTGTACTGCTATTGGTTATGATGCATATATAGAGGAAAGAAATTGAGGATAATACCCTATTCATGTATCTATCATTAGTTGAACTGTTGACAGTATATCTGAAAGATGTGTATGAATTGCCCCAGTCCTTTCACTAACATAGCTTAATTAATTTGCCAGTCAAGTCCAATTAAAAATAATATACTGGTACTTACAAAGCGTAGAATTTGGAGAAAAATGCATTTTTTTATGTAATCTACCTCGTATAAAAAATGTTGTACAATGGTATCTTTGAGAGTAGGACTAGTACTCATCACCCTCTTTAGCAAATTCACTTCAGCAAATTTATGAATTTAGTTTTTTTGGTGGTGACTAGAACTGGAATATTTAGAGTTATTTTTGTTAAATTGATATTTGTCAAAGTGGCTATGCAAGATGGAATACATTCAGGCCATGTATCAGTTTGCCAAGGTCCCTTATTGTACTGTCAACCAAACAAAGTATCATAGGCATTGCTATGATCATTGATGTATCTATTTTCTAATTGAATATGGTAAATAATACATGGAATGCTTTACTGTTATATTCATGAATAAATATTTGTATTTGTTATCCAGTATTCATAATATCTCATAGCTGTGCTACATGAGTTTGTCAATTACTTTATATCTTGTAATGACGGAATGTTTTCACAATTTAATTATGTATGCTAGCCACATAAAGAAACTGTGCATTGTCAAAATATTATCCCAGTTGATAAGTACGATAACAATGTCAAAGGTATATATAAACTTTAATGGTGGGATCATGAGACCATAACAAGTCGGGAGAATTTCAATTGGAAAGTCAATCACAATGACGTCACGAGTCCACTAGCGGGACAGGGGTCAAACGACCATGTCACAAGCTCAATAACGGGTATGTCCACCATTGGTATTGAGAACAGCAGTGCATCGACGACGCATAGAGCCTATCAAACGTGCAAGGAAGGCTTGTGGGATGTCACGCCAGATTCTCTCAAGGTCTGTGACAAGGTCAAGGACGTTATATCTGGTGGAGGAGGAAGACGGTGTAGACATCGATCCATCTCGTCCCAAACATGCTCTATCGGGGAGAGATCCGGTGAATTTGCAGGCCAAGGCAGTAAGTCAACATTGTGGTGTTGCAAGAAATCCGTAGCAACCCTTGCCGTATGAGGGCGGGCATTGTCCTGTTGGAATGTTAACCCAGGGCCATGACGTTGCAGAAAAGGAGTTGCCACAGGTCGAAGAATCTGATCCCTGTAGCCCACACCAGTTAAGTTGCCCTGAACAATCACCAAAGGAGTTCTTTGGCGTGCTGTTATTCCACCCCAAATCATCACGGAACCACCACCAAAGCGATTCCTCTCCAAACACAGGCCTGTGCATAACGTTCTCCCACGCGTCTATAGGCACATTGATGTCCATCACTATGGGAAATGTTAAACCTGGACTCAGCTGTAAAAACAACATTTCTCCACCAAAACAAGGGTCTGCGGACATGATTTCGGCACCACATTTGGCGAGCTTGTCGATGACGTGTTGTCAGGATAGGCCGTATGGCGGGACGTCGTGGTCTGATCCCGTGATGACGTAAACGTTGTCGAACTGTTTTGGGTGGATACGGCGAAGTCCTGGGATGGTTCGGGCAGTCATCACTGCAGTCTGAAACCTGTGGCGAAGATGGGTCACCCTTATCCATCTGTCCTGTCTTGGCATTGTAACACATGGACGTCCAGAACGTGGCCGATCGATGAGGTGATTTGTGTTCTGGTAGCGTCTCACCAGTGCAGTTGGTGTTCCGGTGGCAGTGGAAATGCACAGTTTCTTTATATGCCTAGTATATTTTAATGTGTCACTGTTTAATTTGGCACTTTGGGTTTTGTTTTTTAGCTGAATTGACAGTCACTTTTGTGATTATTAATTTTAAAGTTTTTTTAACGATACTTGGGTGGAAATAGTGATACTTGGACCAGAAATATGTCAGAGGGTGGCATTACATGACAGTTGAAATTGCAGTTAACCTAAAATCACATGAGTACTTGAAGTAGATATACCTATATTGTGTAATGTGTTGTTTTTTTCCAGGTGTGCCCTTTCCGCCCAGTCATAGGCTTACAATGAGTGAAGTGTTTGATGCAAAAGGCAAACCAAAACCAGATGTCCTGAAACAACATTTCATTCTGGAAGGAAGAGTGACTGAAGATGTAGCTTTACGGATTATCAACGAAGGTGCTGCCTTGCTGAGGCAAGAAAAGACCATGATAGACATAGAAGCTCCCGTCACAGGTAAAGACATCTTTAAAATTGTAATTTATCCATTAACTGACAGTGACAATGTGTGGGAAGGCAATTTTGATAAGCTGGATTTTACTTCAGAAGGCAGTTATGGGACTTAGAGGGGTGTCATTTCTTGTGCACTATTTACATGGATTCCTTCAGCCCACACCCACACCCATCCCCATCCCTCAAAATTCTTCCTTGTCATTCTGGAAGCTTACTAGTCACTGACTTCACTAATTTTTCTGTTCAAATGAATTCGTGTGATCAGACATAGCAATTTGTTGGGTTTTGTGTGTGTCATTGGGCCCAGTTGGTGTGGATTATTGCTCGCAGTTTAAGCATGGTCCAGCTTAGATAATTTACAGACTTCCATGGTGAAGGAGTATACTGAACAAACAAACATGATAGAATCATGATTGGAAATCATTGGTTTCCACAGTATGTTCAATTTTTGCATGGTTGGAATATTTCACATGTGTCAGTTTCCTGATTTGATTTATTGAAAAAAGGTTCAATCTCTTGCCTCCACTGATTATCCTTGCTAGTAGGGAGCTTTAACTGCGTTTCTGTGGGCCAATCAGAAAGCCTGTCCTCCAGCAGATGCCTGAAAACAGCACTTGCATGTCATGTACACACTGCTCTTTTTGTAGTGTACACCCCCGAAAATTCAATTGGTTTGTTACAGGTTCATGCTAGGTTAACAAAATGAGAGTTAAATTATAAATGGAACTGCTGCTTATAAGTAGTGATATTTACATCATAAATGAAGTTAGGTGGTAAGCTCAAGAATGAACCACAACCTTTGGTCATTTGGAATCCTGCATATGTCAGTCACTTTTGTGAAAATGATAATTATAATGTATCTTAGCACGACAATTTCTTTATATGTTTCTACAAGAAAAATAGTATCCTTAATTGCTGGTTATTTATTCACATTTGCTTTTTAAAGAACAATCATGTCTGCTGTTGTGGGGTAGGTATTGAGGTATCTTTGCAAAGTGTTCAAGTCGAGGAGGAGCTGCATTATTTTTCTATACACCCTTACGGCATGAACTTTAAAAAGAGGACATAGTGTAATATAAGCGTATGGAAGGGACACATTGATCACTGGCTTTTCGGTTCTTATAAGAGGGTCGGTGGGGTGGCCTATTAGTTAAAGCATTCACTCGTCACATCAAAAACTTAAGCATCTGCATTGATGTGACTTGAGTAAATTTTTCAGTCAAGTAAACTGAGGCTCAGTTTTATTCGTTACACTGCCATACTGAGTCTAACAAACCCTAGTAGAAGGTCGTGTCAGCTAACCTTTTCGCACATACCATTCGAACCTTTACCTCAAATTCCGAATGCTAGTTTCCGCATGATCACTTCTGAGTGATACACATGGAGGACGCCATTATTCACTACAGTCGCTGAAAATAGCGTTTTGTCACTATTCCAGGATGTCATCTTGCAGAAATGTAAGTTAATAGTAACCATGTTATCAGAAAACCCTAAGCATGTATACTGTATGTCAATAATGCAGGTTTTATGCAGATTTTCATTTGTTGAGAGATCAGTGTTGGCGACCGGGGAAGACAAAATCCAAGAACTATTTTGTAAGTCCCGCCAAACCCTAAATAGTAGCCATTATCTGATTTGTAAAATCCGTTCTGTCATCTCACGTGTGATTGGACGGTTAGCTGTCTCGACTTTCTACTGGGGTTTGTTAGACTCAGTATAGTAGTGTAACGAATAGTACTGAGTCTAAGTTTACTTAGACTGGTAAATTATTCGGAAATATAGAGGCCAATGCCACATGTCGCAGGTTTTACCCATCCAGTGTTGGAACTCCCATATTTTTGTTGTGAAAGTCATTGGTACTTGACTGAAAATGTAAGCCCAATGATGGATTTGATCAGGAATCTGAACTAAGTGTCCGTGGCAACCAAATTGGAAACAATCTATTTGATTCATAATTGTGGTTGTACAGTCTAGATTTCCTGTTATAATTTATCATAACATTCACAATAAAACTAAGTATAAAAGCAAAGCCTCTTCCATCTTGTTAGCAGTGTATGAAATAAGCCAAAAGTCCAGCCAGACATCAGGGCTTGTAACTTCAAAATGTTACCAGCCCAAAATGGATTTAACCAGACCAAATATGGTGAATTTACTCAGATGTATAGAACATCTAAAAAAATTACCAGACCATCAGGCTGACTAGCTGTAAATTTAGCCTGTCTGTCAGAATTCTAGCCCATCTCCGGCGGTCAGACGGGCCTTATTTCATACACTGTTGTAAGTCTTGTCATCAGTGTAATGGAGAGCACATAATAATGTGAATTGGAAATATTATTCTACGAATTTGAGAATTCACACCCATTTGCATCATAGTCAGTTATCCGACTGCACAAGCTAGTCATGTCTGCTATATTGGGGTTTTAAATCTGTACCCTCTTGGTATAGATACTGCTATTTACAAGTATAACATGCAGCTTTCAGCAAGACTTTCATGTTCTGTTGTCTCCCTTTGTGGAAGATTATGGAGTCAGGAGTTAGAATACATTAACCTTTACACAACAGTTATCAGTAAAATTATTAAACCCAAATCTGCATTCGTAAGGCGTTAAAATTGGTGTGGAACATCCATGTTGACATCCATGGTATTGATTGTTTTGATTGAAACTCATGGCAAATACCTGAAAGACCAGGGAATACCGTCTATAGAAGAAACTCTGTAGAAGCAGTACACGATTCTGGATTAAACCATTTTTAACTTGTGGTTTGGCAGACAGTTCCTGTTAATACAAAGGAAGGGTTATAAACATCTACTGCCACCTGAGAAGTTAAACTATCCTTTCATTGGAATGTTGCATACGCTGGAGAATGTTTCATGGATAGCTGAGATTTCACCCAAAGTGGCTAGTTCTGTTGTGACAGCCTCAGTGACAAGGGAAGGCATCTGACCTAGTTATTGATCTTGTCTGGTGGAGCTTACAGTACCTTCATTTGGAAAGCTGGTGGCAGCCTCTAGCTCAACCAGCGCTGTCACATGAATGGGAGGAAATACTGATGGATATGACAAGTGTATGCAATAAAATAGCTCCTCATCAGTAAAATGTTGTATGACTGTGTGTATGGAATACTGTTGGAGTTCACCTGGATAATTCCTATGATTATGAAAATGAATGTGTTCAAGAATCAAACGTTTTCCCCGGATATGCCTTGATACAAGTGAATTGGATATTCTTCCCAATGATCATCTCTGGAGTCAAGTGCCATAATGTCTTCGGATTGCATATACACACTCAACTGTCCATGACAATGAGCATTCATGATTGTAATTAGTTGCAACTTTGGGTGCATTATCTACAAGTGTTTCATTGCTGAGACCTGTGAAGATCTTCTAGTACCCATACCTGTCGTAAGAAGTAACTCACAACATAAGATTGTTAACCTCTCTGACTTGTTGACAATTCATTTCAGTAGTGTAGATGGATGCTCTTGATGTTAGTCACTGTCTGGTCAATTTATTTACAGAACGCCATTGCTTAGTGTGGCGTTAAGCAATGCGCAAACATATGATGGCCAAGAATAAAGGCCATGGTGATTGGTCATTAAACTTGTAGTGCTTATGGAACCTGTTGGTACAAGCTAGAGGCTTTCAAAGTTCTTCATTGGTCATGTTTTCCCCAAACTGGAAGTGATGTTAGGGTATCATCAACTGTAACAGCAGTTTATATGAAGCATGTATGGTTCATAATGCTTATTATTGGTGGGCATTTTGTTGTTCAGTATTGTTGCTTAGTGGAGTGAAGACAATCAAGCATGAACTGTCTCAACAATGATTGTATTTGTCAGAATAGAAAGATTGATTGCATCTTGCATATGGTTCAGTTCTATTTACAATCATTCCAACAGCCAAATGCCAATTCCAATGTCCAATCAAACTTGAGTCGGGTATAATTAGCATTCACTTTAATTCGATGTACATAGAGTGATGTATTGCGCTTCCAGTAAATCTTTGTTACATTTTGCACATTTGAATGCCAAGTATTGTTTTGTTTTCTGTTTTCAGTGTGCGGGGACATACATGGTCAATTTTATGACCTTATGAAATTATTTGAAGTGGGTGGCCCACCAGCAACAACACGCTACCTCTTCCTAGGAGACTATGTAGACAGAGGATATTTTAGCATAGAGGTTAGTATGGATTTTAAAATGTTTTTTTTTTCAGGTAAGCATCTGGTGCAAATAGGAGTTAGCACTGTTGCCTCAGTGTCAGTGTCTGCACTAAAAATCTTTAGTCAACTTGTCCTAACACAAATATTTGCTCTCTTTATCAGTAAATTTGAATTGACAGTACACAGTTTAAAGTTATCAAAAGATCTGTGCACACCAAAGTTGCTTTTAAAATAAGTAGTATATGGCATATTTACCAAATTGTGTTTGTGACAGTATGTTATCAGAAGTTTATGCTAAAATAGTCAATATGGAGAGATTTCTTGGTGATTGTTGTGTGTGGTCACATGTGTAGAGCTCAGGTCACAAATCAGTTGAAGTTAAGCACTGTTTGATGGGTGACTGTGTTTGGCTGCTTGACTCCTGAGTGTTTCTAGGACTTCAGTCCTGCCCCACAACAAACCATGTGATACATGAGGTCTCACCTTTAGGCAAATGAGTTTGTTCAAACTTGCCTCTGTTCACCCAGCAGAAAATGGGTACCTGGTGGGATAAGTCCTGTGACTATTAACCTTCTAGCACGTCACACACAGCTTGGGTTATCCAGGTTAATAATAATCAGATTGTAGTGCTTTGAGCTTGACCCTTCAATGCCCCTCAGTGCATTACAAATGCCCTTTTTATTATTGTGAGACAGTAAAATGTGCTTTTTATTATGGTGAACCATATTCCATCATGATCATCAAAAGAAATGATGATAGGTTGATCCAAGGATCAGCTGGAACATGAGTCATGTTCTAGCCTTCAGCTCATTTAAGACTAGTAGTGACATAACTAGATTTGGTAAAACAACTTAGGACAAGGCCAATTTACTACATGGGTAAGTTGGCCTTGGTTTGTAATGAATTTAAGAACCGTGAGTCATCCATATTGGAACATAGGCCCATGAATTCATGTTACAAATGAATAGGCATGTCGTGATGTTGCACAAATAGTCAGCGGTGAAGTGGAAATACAAACTTATGTTGGTTGGTCAAAAAATGGTTAAAGTTGATAAAATGCCAAGAAAAACTTCAGGGCCATAATATTTGTTAGATAAAGTGCAGCATACAGTTTATAAGGTTACTTTCCAAACACTGCAGTTCAATGAGATCTTCCACACCTTGACCAACTAAAAAGAAAAGTAGGTGGCACAAACATAAATCATGAGAAACATTGCCAATCGACTGTAATGGATGTCAATCATTTTAGCAGATATTATTTTGTATAGTGTTGTTTTTCTTCATAACCACTTTAAGTTTAACATTATGTGTCATGATCCATTTGTTCTTCTTTTTGTATTATATATGGTGACATATTAATATACAGTGACATATCAGTACACATCTTTTTGAGCATGGTGCATTTCCTTTGTAAATGTAATCAGAAAAACACCCAGTGCTATGTGCCAGAGTTAGGATGCAGGTAAAATGTTGGATGAGTGTCCAAATAGGTGTTGATGTTACTTTAGATGAGAACTGGTTATAACTCTTATAACCTATCTATCTAGTACCATGGGGTCATAAATACAGGCTCAAAAGTTTAATTTTTACCAAATAGCCATATGGCTACAAATGTCATTTCCAGGTAGCCACTGGTAAAACCAAGAAGTCGAAGCAAATAATGCAGCTTGGAATCATGTCAGTTATCACTCATATTTCCAAAATGATTGCCATTATGTTTTGATATGCAAAGTTTAAAAAGTACATGCCATCGTGTGAAGTAAAATAACAGTTTGTGCATGTCAGAAGTATGTAAACATGATGGCACTTCGCACAGTAAAATTATGTGAATTAAATTAATCCTCACACCACTGCTTTATGTTATCAAGTGTTCGTCATTTACTTTTGTGTCCAATATTGTGAAACAGTAAAATGTAGTCAATACAGTTAATTTTAATGTTATTCCTACTGTCCATCGTCGACAGGTTTTACTCTTCAAAATGATTTTATTTTTTATTGTATAAATTGTTTTCGTCACGATATGGCCGAGATATTGCCAATGTGACGTTAAATATTAACTCACTATAGTCAGTTGGCAGGCAGTCAGTTTTGATGGACTTACTGAAATTAATCTTGCATTAGTAACTTTTTTCCTTTTCTTTTTTAACTTAACTTTGAGACTTTGGGTTTGACCATTCAAATTGCTGAATTAGAAATTGTCAACTTCTGCTGACAATACAAAAGAATACTGTCAAACGATATTGTAGTATGAACCATGGGATCCCTTATTAAGTTGTTTTCATAAGTTTTTACTGATCGTCATAATTTTGCTTCATTCTGATTGCCAAGTTCAAGCCAATTTTTCCAATGTTATACAAATGTATTAAGACATTTACTGCCACCTTGCATTGAAACATGACATATGACCTGATCATTGTCGGCTTTCCATCTACTTGAAAATAGGTGTGATGACCATTCCTTTACAGTTGTGTTGAATGTTTCTGGCATGGGGAAAAAGAACATACTTTGGAGTCTTTGTGTTTCTAATTTGTGAGGCATATGTGACTCATTTACCTAAGGCACTACAATTTGCTGTGCAAATGTTTCTTGCTTAGCAAGCCAGAAATCTGTGATTGCTCGTTCAATTTCTATTTCCCACCAAGTATGTTTCTTGCTTTCCAAGCCTCATACCTACATTACTTCATTCTTTCATGAAGCAGACATACTATAATATAACTTTTGTTGGCACAATGTTTTACGTTTTGTAGAAAACAAAATTCACGACTACCACTCACTTCTTTTAAGAATTTACTTAAACTATTTTTTGCATCTATGTAGAAAACAATTTGCATACTGTGTACAGCTAATAGTAGCTGTATTTAAAACAAAAAATTGCAGTAACAAGATAACAGCATCAGGATAGTTTTTTGTCCTGAAACAGTGAATTTTAGGTGTCTCACTGTCTTTGAGTGTGGTCAAAAGATCTGTCTATAGAGCATGAGGAATTTTTATTTTAAAGGTTGTGTACAATAAAAATCATATTGAACATGTCATGCCTATATAGACAAGAAATATATGGTAGAATATTGTTGATACACGTTGCACATATTTTTGACATTCCAGACATAGAATAAGGATAAACATTGTCACCTCTTGCTTTCATTACTAAGTTCTGATCAGTAGTAAATTATCATCTCCTGAAAAAGAAACATAACATAAATTAGTTGCAAATTTCATTGAAAAGTCTGTAAGCATGAAGAGTCTGAGCCATTGTCTCTGTATGTACCACTGAGTTCATGTGAATGATTGAGCATACTGTAGTCCATTAACTCCCAGTTTATGTAGCCCTTGTTTCCCATGGTGATATCCTCCGAATGCAGCTACCCACTCATTTCATAAGCTAACTGCATTGGCCAGTATGCAAGGAAAGTGATAATGTCTGAAGGCTTGGCAGAGAAGGGGGCCCATTCGAATTAGTATTAAATTGTATTTCAAGGAAAGTGAAGGATGCATACAAAACAGAATTTGATGAGATGGCCTCGAGCAAGGCTCAGTGTGCTGCAGAGAATATTTTTCCCTTGTCAAGGTCAATATTAGCATTGATTAGTAGGTGCTGCAAGAAGTGTGGGAGTTGATCTATACTTAGCTCTCTGGCAGTGCTTCCACAGATATGATTCAGCCCTGCCACTATTTAAGCTGCTTTCACCATGTTTTCCTCGGTTGTACTGATGACATGACCTCAGGTGTAATTTTGGGTTTTCTGGGTCACAATTGAATATCAATTATTGGTGTTAGCTATCAATGTTAACTCATAGCACTTTTTTTTTTAAACTGGTACTCAGATTTTTTTGGGGTTACCTGCGTTGAATGTTCTAAGAGAACAGCTAAAGATCGCAGGCATTTTCAGACTATCTCTCCATGAGTAAAGAATTGTGTAAATGTTGCTGTCATTCCTTTCTTTCCTCTTTTTTTTCTCTCTCTCTCTCTCTCTACCTCCCCTAAATAAATAAAAATATTTCAGTAGTAGTACTATGGTTGGCTATTGATTTAGATAATAGAGATTGATAATTGTTAACTAAATATCACTCAATTGATTATCAATATATTAGGGAGATGTAACTTTAAGCATCCCAAACATAATTTAGAAGCAGACCATGAATTAAGTCCTACATTTGTCGGTTGTGAGAAAATTAAGACTTGTTTCTGTCACAAAAGTTAATGTATGATGTTATCAATAACAGTTTTCATATCGATAATCGTTAATAATTTTTCCAATCGACGATTTTTCCGATTATCAATCACTTTATCCAGTCTTAAATAGTGCTCTCATTAATAGAACTTGTTTTCATTATTTTTTTGCTCATTATTTTGGCGAGGAGGGAGAATGAAGGGGTCATGATAATGTATCCATATGTTTGCTTTGTTCATTTGTTTAAACACATTCAACATTAGTTGAATAGATCCCCAGGTCAAAGTATGCAAAGATGTTGAATTTATGTTGATATGGTTTTGTGTCATGAATATTGAAAATGTTGGCATTGTAATGACTGTAATTTGGACAATGTCTAAGGCAGTGAACTGACAAATGGTATTGTGTATTGTTAAAAGTGTAATAATTCATCAAACATCTGATGCATCGCATACTGTCCAACACAAGTTTTCTATTGATAGATCAAATAACATTATAAAACAAGTACTGTACAGTGACATGGCATCAACATAACTGTAAAATGCAACTTTCAACTGAGACATGACACAGGTCTTGTGTTACTGTTTGAATATTGACTCAAATTTACATAAATGTTTCATGGTTTGGCTACTTTTCACTGCCACATGTTTGTTGATGGAAATGGTCACTAGACAAAGCAAGGCAAGCCATTCCTGAGGTGTTATTTTCTCCCCAACGTAGTGTAATTTGTTTCATGAACTACTAGTCTGAAATGAGCTGGTGTGTACCTGTGGTTCCTTGCTCTGAGTGTATCCTATTTAGGTACCTTGTTCTATGTCATGTTTTCATATGGGCTTCTTTGGTGTTTGGTGCAGAAGCTTGCAGGTAAAACTTGTATAGTTAAATTGTTTTTTCTTTCTGTTTCAGTGTGTATTATACCTGTGGGCTTTGAAAATATTGTATCCAAACACATTTTTCCTCTTACGAGGAAACCACGAATGTAGGCATCTAACAGAGTATTTCACATTTAAACAAGAATGTAAGTATTTTTAAACAGTATCCTCTAATTCTATAGTTAAATGTTGATGTGTGAAAAACAAATCTTTCAAACTTTAGAATTGTGATATATTGTACCTGATATTCTGGTCTAATATGTTTAAAGAAAGGTTTGCTTTTTCTATTTTTGTACCCATGGGGTAGTGGGGTGTTGTTGTTTTTCAGGTAGAGTATCAAAATCCAAAACAATTCACACATATGTTAGTGATGTTAGGCCACACATTTTTCATTTCTCATTGTAACTTATTTTCTAGGTAAAATAAAGTACACAGAAAGGGTATATGATGCCTGCATGGAATCCTTTGACTGTCTGCCACTAGCAGCTTTAATGAATCAGCAGTTTCTCTGTGTCCATGGGGGGCTTTCACCAGAAATTCACAATTTGGAAGATATCCGAAAGGTAAGTTGAATATTGTTCAACCAAAAAGAGCGTCTATTGTTAACTTAGCATTAATAATTCTTCTGTGTTTTGCTAATGAAATGCCATATTCTTGATTAATTGCATATGAAATATTTATCTCTATATTTTCAGACCATGCACTTAATATTCCAACCCATTCAGACTGATACTAGATAATTATTTTTCTTCATTGGTTTTGTAGTCCATAGGTGTTTGTTTTCCACAACTGAATTTTATTCTTGTAGCTGGACAGATTCAAGGAGCCTCCAGCATTCGGTCCCATGTGTGATATATTGTGGTCAGATCCATTGGAAGATTTTGGAAATGAAAAAACAACAGAACATTTCACACATAATACAGTTAGGGGTTGCTCATATTTTTACAGGTAAATGTTTACTATATTCTCCATATCTTACATTATTTCATTGTTAGATTTCATAATACTACCTCATTAATGTAGTGGATATTGTCTGTCTGGAGAGCAGAATATATGGTTTGGATTCCCAGCCATCTAATGCCAAAAGACTTTCAAAGATTGTACTTGTAAAACTGCTTGTTGCTTGGCTTTTTAAGGGGATGGAACAAGTACTGGTTGGCTTGGAGTCTGTATACCATGTACGCTGTAAGCCGTTACAAACACACACATGTACATCCCAATCTAAGTGGAATAATCTTGAACTTGATAATATCCCATTCACCTCCAGTCATTGGTGATACACCAGACATGCTAAAACCCTTGTTTTATTATGTAATGAGCATATAATGATAATGATAATATGTCAATGTGTTACAAAACAGATGAATTTGTATGTTGATGATTTTCTGTTGCAGCTATGCAGCATGTTGTGATTTTTTGCAACAAAACAACTTGTTGTCAATAATCAGAGCACATGAGGCACAGGACGCTGGGTAAGCAATAATTAGATTTTCAAGTCTATATGGTAAATTTTATAAGTGTGATTATAGAAAGTTAAGTTACCTGTTATTTAAGTTTCTATTTGCATTTTGTGAAAGATGAAGTACAGATTGAATTATCTCCTTTTGTGCTTCTATGTGAAAGACACAATAAACATGCTATTTTCTCATCGTCAACATATGCTGATGCAAGTGTTTCAAATACATTGTTTTGGAAACCTGAAGTTGACATTGCAGTTTTATGACAAGGAAGGTCTTTGTTCTCTTTCAGGTACAGAATGTATAGGAAAAGTCAGACAACAGGTTTTCCATCATTAATAACAATATTCTCAGCACCAAACTATTTGGATGTTTACAACAATAAAGGTAAGTTGCTGCAGTGATGCTTACATCCTCAATTATCCATTGATTATTATTGTCTTTTCTATTATTCAATTGCCCACATTTGCTTTGTTTCATAAGTGAGGTCACCACTACTGCTACTTAACTTATCTGAAGTAAATAATTAGGGCCTTTTAGATCAATGTGGTTAGTATCATAGAAAACAGATCAGAAATCTTGTAAGTAATTAGTTATGGAAGATTAGTTGTATGTTGTATACAATATCTCTACATGTTGTTTGCAGAAATAGAAATTAACCGTGGATGTCTACTAACCAAGAATAATTATGTTTAACACAATTATCAAAATATTTGAAATTCTACTAGACCTGAGCATACCTACAACATTAACAAAACATGTGCGGTCTGGTGCTAATTTCCATCCCTGTGATGCTATGCTTGACACATTCCTTTGTCTTACAGTCAGTCATACACTGTATGTATACACATTGAACTGTCACAATCATGTTTCAGCTGCCATACTGAAGTATGAAAACAATGTGATGAACATCAGACAGTTCAACTGCTCTCCGCACCCGTACTGGTTGCCAAACTTCATGGATGTGTTCACATGGTCTCTTCCATTTGTAGGGGAGAAAGGTACAAGTACTACATAGCATTTCATGGACAATATCATGTACAGTGTTTATAAGGACATTCAAAAAGGAGTTGCATATTTAATAAAGACCTGTGAATAGTTGAAACATCTTCAGTTATTTTTCACAGAACTCAGTAACCTGTGTAAACTTTTTATTGGGAGGGCGTAGTAAAAAGAATTTTTGTACCTGATAAGATCTGTTTCTCTTTCACTTTGCTTGAGACAAAATGTGGTTTAGAGCATAGATCTTATCATTTGACGAAACATTTCTATTCATGGAATGAAAATTATACCAGATTATGTAACTGGATGAAAAATGAAGATGGAATAAAGTAAGCAGAAATGGCTAGGAATGTCAGGAGTTGCTGGCAAGTGAGAAGACGAGCAGATCATCTACAATCTGTCAACGCCAGAAGACCTCCAGCCTACGTCCCCTGCAAATACATAAACTGGCATGTTTGTTTTTCCAGTGACAGAAATGCTTGTCAACATCCTCAACATATGCTCAGATGATGAGCTTATGACTGAAGGAGATGATTCCCTAGAAGGTGAGGTGTTCACTTCACATATGTTCCCCTTTGTGTGTGCTAGCCGCTTCCCTGGCTATTACATTAGTAGTGTTGTCATCCTAGACCCAGCATGAGCAGCTACTGTTCTGTCTTGCAATCAGCTTTTTCTGTTAGAATTAGATTGTCACTGAAAACATTATCACACATTTGCTAGTGACCGTAGCCGTTTTGTTTTTGTTCATTAATATTTTTATAGCTGAGCTGTGTAGCTATATTAATCTTTCTTGACAATGCTATTGGGCAAGGCAGAAAGAGGAAGACTTTTTCATTGGTCAGAAATACACACATACATTCATTGCCATGCAAAGACAGCTCCTTCAAATTCTTCAACCAAGAGGAACATTGAATGTCATAGTACCAGCAAAGTCAATTTCATCATGTTTCTATTTTAAAAATTACATACTGAAATAAATACAGGCATGTACGCACACCCACTCACCCATTTATATCTTTGATATTGGTGTTGGATGTATGACATAGAGGCCTGTAGGATGCACATTTCTGTCTGCTTCATCATACATCTCAAAGCATCATGCTTCTGTCTTTGATTGAGCTTACTTTTCAGAGTTGCTAAGACTTCCTTTTTCTTAACATTTACAGGTAAATCAATGTATTAAAGTTCTGAGCTGCAACAAATTTGCTGCCTTTCTGCATATTTTTATCATTTTTATGCTCTTGAAGTAAGGTATTTTGTAGTTGTTACACCTGTAAAATTTCAAATTTCCTAAATTTTAATTCTTTTTGAATTTAGCCCCAGAGTATTGTAAATAATTAGCATGTAGTATTGACATATGAAACTTAAGTATTATGTAAAATACTTATTGGGTGTAGCCTTGTAATATATACTCAGTGTTTCATACTGTTTTTTTCTCTCTCTCTTTCTTTCTTCTCCCCTCGATATGCTATTGGTGACCTGTGTTGCACCTTTGTTATCCCTGCATGCTTAAAAAGTGCAGCGGAGTGGTAAGTTAAAAAAGATGACTTGTGGCAAAAAGTGGAGGAGAGATGCTGAGGGTGTGCTTTTGGGTGTGTGTGTGTGTGTGTTGACACCAGTGTTCCAGCCTCTCTCCACTTCTAATGTCACAAGTTTATCCTAACATTGTATGTAGATTTGCTGTGGTGGCTTGGCACCAGCTGCTTGCGCTCACCAGTTCTGTCAGCCATCGCTATAGGCTCAGCTTGTAGGCAAACCAGACAATCCACCCACCTGCTTTTGTGTGTCATGGCATTAAACACCACAACTTGCAATACTTCAACCTATAGTGGCAAGCCTGTATTTGCATTTACTCATTTGCGGGTGCTTCTCAGGAAATTAACCATGTTTTTAAACAAATGCCATTTGAGATTTATTCCATTTACTTGCTTATTCAGCTGTAATGAGGCAAGATTTTTTGTAGGAAGATTGTAATTGTTTCATTTTCCCTGACCTCAGCAGCTTTCTGTGGACATCATCAATTTGCTACTGTGTCTCAAGGGATGGTTGACTCAATCATCTCAGGATGTTGCCACATGTCCTATTTCTTGAAAATCCTTCAATAAGATCAATGATTTATCTCCTTGGGAATGTTTCTTATTGTTCCATGTACATGTTGACAAGTTAACTCTGTATCAAACTTTTTTCAGCCAAATATTTTGCCTAATGATGATGTCTACAGGCATATATATGTATCATTTACAGATTTAGAATTAGAAGTTTCTTGTGTTTCATCTTGTTTTATATCTCTCAATTAACATTAATATGTTCTAAGCTAAAATTGTGTTTCATTATTGTTGTTTGATTTGACTCAAGTTTGCTGCCTAGGTTTAATGCTAATCTACTAGAACGACTTTCTCATTTACTCATTTTGTCATAAACATCACTGACAATTTTGTACTTGCATGTTATTAAAAATACACAAGCTTGGAACTTCAGTACAATTATAAACGTACTTGTATATCTGGATAAATCAATGAAGCATATTGAACTCTAGTATTTCAACTAGAACCAATTCTGAGGAAAAGCTCATGTCCTGTTCATATCTTAATTGTAAAGTGTAAAATGCGCTTTGATAATGAAAGCAGTAGTTGTAGTTGTGCTGATGAGTGTATTTACTATGCCAGCAATTGTCTGAATGCCTAAATACAGTATAACCTGTATGTCCGAATGTTTAATATACTGGATCAGGAATGAAGGTAATATGCATACACCAGTCACGGGTTACACATTACTAATTGACCTTCTCATCATCTCCACAGCTTGAACCTCCTCCTGCAGGAAGATTATCATTACTGTATTTGTTGTTTCTTTTTTCTTTCATGTTTTTTCTTCCCCCCCTACCTGGACATTGCCAACTCAAAAACATCTAATGTTGGATTGATTTCAAACTTGGTACGTTCATTATGACATCCAATTGCATCGCACCTTTCACCATTTTCTGGCACTTATTTTGTGAGTGTTTGGCAATTCTACATGGTGAATGGTACAAATCAAATTTGTAAATTGTACTTGGAAAATTTTATTTTGAAAACAATCCTTCAGTGAAATCAGTTCCTATCCACTGGGAATACCATTCACCATGTTCTTTAAGCCTTTATTTGATAATGGGTTGGGTTTTTTTCAGTTTTTCTTAAACTCTTGTTTAAATGTGATCTATAACTTTTTATGTAAGTCTTTTTATAGAAGTTTTTAAATGCTAAATATCATTTAATTCTCTCTATGCTATCTTAATTCAATAGATGCAGGCTCTCAAATTATTTGTGATAGATGCTCACAGTTGTGTTATAGATATGTTTTACTGAATGAAGGCTAAGGTGTGGTGTTTATTATAGCGGGTTTAGTGGCAGCCAGGAAGGAGGTGATCCGCAACAAAATCAGGGCAATTGGCAAAATGGCCAGAGTCTTCACCGTTCTGAGGTAAGATGTGGTTCTCACTTTACAAGATCAGCCAAATTTATTTTTGACTAAACGTAAATAATGTGAATTTATGTTGTGACCTGCCTGACAGTCATACAATCACAAGGCCAGTGAATACATCCAGTGACACAATTCTGATCCTGTGTTCAACGTGGCCACCATGGAAGCCATTCAAAAAATGTCAGATAAGAACAATTCCCATCTATTTTCTGCTTGTGTTGTTGTGAAATTTGATATGAGGGTCAGATGATCATGCTTCCTGTTTTGTTGATGCATGTCATCTTAATCCAAATCACTGTATTGTATAGTTCATACTGTTATTTTCAGATCATTGTCATAAGCTAGTATTTTATTAGTGAGTGCTGCATTAGACAACACATTACATGAATGATATTGAGCAAATTTCTTTTTCCTTTTCATCTAAATAAATACCTCTTTGTTGCAGAGAAGAGAGCGAAAGCGTGCTTCAACTCAAAGGTCTCACTCCAAATGGATTGTTACCTCTTGGTGCGTTGTCTGGAGGAAAGGATACTCTCAAAAGTGGTATGTACTGTATCTTGCTATGAAAGTTTCCTCGTTTCATCCAGTAGACATGCAGATGTCAGCACAAACCTTAGACCAGGTAATATGGCTGAAATACTGCCGATGTGACTTAAAATTTTAACTCACTCACTCACTCACTTAGACCAGGTGTCTGTTCTGAATAATGCTGGTGGACACTGTGACTCCCAAAGTGAAACAAAGGGAACATTTAAGGAAACCGTCACTATAATTCACCTTTAAAGAGATGTTGTACAGTAGTAGAAATGGCCCCAGCTGCTATTATAGGAAATATAGTATCAACTATTTTCCATGTACAGTCAAACACCATTGTGTCAAAGTTGAAGGGACCTACAAATATTTTTAGTGATTCAAGGTTAGAAAAAATTATTAGTTTGTGTTCAGTAGAGTATGTTTACCTTCCTTAACCTATTGAAACTATTGATCTGATAATGTTTATAAGTTCACAGAATTATGCTGTATTTCAAACATTTTGATTTTTGTCACAGATATTAAGATGAAGGTTTGTCTCAAATCCAAAAGTTATTTTACAACTTGACAATCTGAAGTTATCTCTGATCAGACAAGCATTTAATCACTAAAATTTGGATCATATTCTCTCTTCCAGCTTTGAGTGGTTTCTCTCCAACTCACAAGATCAGCGGATTCGAGGAGGCTAAATGCTTAGACAAACTAAATGAGAGGATGCCACCTAGAAAGGATGCAGTAAACCAGCAAAACAACAAAGAAAAGGCATAATATGCTGGACTATCCAGTGAATCACCGGTCTATTGCCCTTTCCTATCGCAGGGGGGTGTCAATCCAGTCACTCGTCGCAGGAAGCTGGCTTCCTAACAAATCAAATCTATGGCTGTACACATTTCAAACTGTAGATAGACCTGTTACTTTTTGATCTCAACCTATGGCTGTAAGTTATTGATCCTATCTGTATGAGAGTTGACAAGTATGTGTTCTTGTCCATATGAACACATATTACTGTTTTTATTTTTGTTACTGTTTAAAAAAAAAAAGTCATGTGTCTTTCTCCAAGAAAGTTGTCTCCTTGTTTTGTTGATATTGTTTACTTTCTTGACCCTCAATTCTAGTCAAGTCCCAGACTTAAACACCTGACGACGATGACGCCTGTCCATCCCTCACCCTTGCCCTCCTAAGCCCAGCCACCCCTCCCTCTGTTAAGTTAGACAGCTTTCTGTCTAGCAGTGACTGGGATTAATGAAAACAATGGCTGAAGCCAGCCAGCCAGCTGTCATGACTGCTGCTTCTGATCAGAAGGAAAGCAGACCTGAGATGACGGCAATCTCCACATTGTGCAAGAGGCACTAACTTTTGTGACAAGGAAATGTGTTCTTATGATTTCACAAAGTGAGGATTGAACCTCCTACTCTTTAGACTTGATCCTGAGTCAGTCTGTGTGATGAAGCTGCCAGCCAGCCCGACGCCCTATGGCAGATGGCCTGTGTAGACCCTGGATATTTGTCAGTGCCACTAGTACTTATACATGAACACATGCACATAATGTATGTACTTACATACATGGATGTGTGTGCTACAGTGATCAGCAGGAAGTACACCAGCTTCATTCCTTCAAGCTGGATCAAGGTCAGCTTGAGCCATGTTGACACCTTCTGCCATAAGGAGCTATTGGATATACCGGTTTGATACTCGTCGATCTACAGGAGTACAATGTCTGTCAGTCATCTGAGCATCGTTTCCAGGGCACATTGATGACTGACATAAATGTGTTTACAAGACTCATACTGAACACAATGACTATATATAAGGAGGATTTTTGCTATGTGATGTATTGAATTATTATTGCACTTAGATGGACATTCTTAACACCTTGTTTCTACAACAGTTACCAGCATCCTCAACACAAAAAAACCAGACTGATAGATCTGTTTGAAAAGAACAAAACTGTTTTGTTTGTGTTTGATACCTAATCATATCCCTACTCGTGATTGCGTGGAGGGCGAATCTGCTTCACCAGGAATGTTGGCACTGTTTGTTGTTATGTAAATGAGGCTGGTATTAACCTTCCAGTGGTGTACATGTACAACTTTATTAATATATTTCCCATTCCCATCTTAAGAAGAAATATTTTCCTACCATTACAAGACAAGTTTTCACATATCCCCTTGTTTTTGCTCACATTCTCCCAAATGTTACGTACAAATTCCACATGTTTGCTGAAAGTATTTGAGGCCTTTTCTGTTAATGCATTGAAAACTAGTTTGTTGTTGCTAAGTACAGTAATGAAGCACAACTCAATAGTTGATGTTTGTTTTCATGTATATTCCCTTAGTATTTTCACAGGAACATTGCATTTTGAACACTTTACTTATTACAAATGTACTAGTTGTTAAGATGCAGAGCAATCATCTATTGGTGTAGTGTTGAAATCTGAAGCTAAAGAGCACATATTATTGACACAGTGTGAGAACATTGGTGCAACATAATATTTAACGTTCCACCTTTATTGTTGACCAGTGTGTCCTTCCTACCCAATCCTTCACAAGTTATCATGCTCAGATTTTACACAGGGAGGAGTTGACTTTTTAACTTTTTTTTTTTTTTTATCTTCACAGTGCTTCTCCCTGTAGACAGATGTTGATACAGAAACTCACAGCTACCATTAGATTTGTGTGGTTGTGCTTTTAAACATACAAGTTTAGATGTTGCACTTTTATCAAAGTTTTTCATTGAAATTACCCTTTACAAACTTTGAATGTTCGTCAAAACTTTGAGACTGGTGTTTATGTGCATGACAATAAATCTCCAATTCTTGCACCATCGAGTACAATGTGTCATTTACCTCTTGGGTGTACAATTCTTTTATGTTCAATTTCTGTTGATTATTTAAGTTACCACAGTGTTGACCCCTTAGCAATCCTGTGGCTGCTATTGAGGAATGCTAAAGGGTGAAATTGAGTAAATTTATCATGTCTTCATGCATCTTCCATTGGTCTTCATGAAATTGAGTTGAAAACTTTTAATTCAAGGCAATGAATGGATATTTTGAGTAAAAATGAAGTTATTTTCATTGATCATACATTGAAAGACTGGACTGCTGGCTAAGTGTGTTCTCTACTCCACTATTGCATTGACAATTCTTGCTGGGCTCATGTCCACTCCATGTCTTGTTGACTGAGCCATTCAGGCCTCAGACCCACTGGACATCGCACCCATATGAACACTAAGGCTTTGTGTACAAATTCTGTAGTTGAAGCACCTTGTAATTATTGCCTTGTATAGCCATTTTTATTATTATTAATATTATTATTATTAACTTATATGTTTACAAACTTTGACCTTTTTCATTATTTTGTCAATTGTCAGGACATTGTTGTAAATCATGCATGTATTCATAATTGTAAAATTTCTGTGTTGAAATTTAAATTAAAAAACAACAAAATTCATGTAGTATTTTGCACTTGTTTGTAACATGACTGCGGGAATGGTCATTTCATGGTAGGTGTAGTCTGCCTTAGCTGTCCCAGTAGATGATTTGAGCATATGTTCATAAGCTCTGCTCCAAATTTCCCAAACCACTTACATCTGAAAAGTAAGACATGAAAAGAGTGCTGTTAACATTTTGATAACATTGACATGGAGACTTGGTTGCCGGCTTGGGTACAGTGTGTAAGCCATACATGGTGTCTCTAATGTTGGAATGGCAACAATATAATGTCAGCACTCTTAATACGCATTGAGGCATCTCGTTTGTTTCGAGACTGGTAAACATTGTTCATATGATCAACAAATTCATATTAAAAACAAATTTGCATTTACTAGTCTTGAACCAGTGGCTGAGATCATGTCATACACATGGTTAAGGGACAGTGTTATGCATTCAGTTATTCCTTTTATTGCTATTTTTATACAAAAAGGACCCATGGTGACCTCGTTGGTGCAGCAAAAAAATCTTCATTGAGGCTTTTGTATTTGCAGATTATTATTGGCATGAAAGATACGCTACTTCTAAGATGAGACAAGGTAGAGCTTAAAGATATGATTGTCTTCGCACAACAATTACCCATTTTCGGTAATGATTGTTCTGGCTTTCACAGTACTGTACATAAATTGCCTATACATGAAAGGAATCTTTACCAAAGTTTGATGGATGGGAGAGAGAGATCATAGTGATGCTGTTATTAAAATAGACCAACAAACATTGAAAACAAAACATTTAGCTTAATATCTGCGGGGAAAAAACTTCGATGGGTTCTGGCAATAACTGATAAAAAGGAAACTAAGGGGATGAGTGGTTCAATAATTGATTTGCACTAATTGGAAATTCCACGTGGGCAATGTGGTTTGGTGTCATAAGGATTTCCACCACCAACTGAGAAAGAGGTAACTCGGAGAAGATTGGATCGGTGATGAAGCATACATACGTTTGTTTACGACGTACTGCAATATTATTCCAGCTGCATGACCGCGGTTTTTAAATAATTGAGTCTGGACCAGACATTGCAGCGATTAATATCACGAGCGTCGATCTGAGCTATTGGGACATGGCGTCGACTGTCATGGGCTGCCAAAAATAATTTCAGGGCCGCAGTTAACTTTTATTAATAAGGGGGGCACCATCCACGTTAGAACAGTGTTATATCAATAGTTTGATGCACAAAAATTAATCTGTAAAAAGATTCTAGGGGACACCTGGGCTCTCCCTACGGCCCTGAATTTCTAATCCGGTTACAATCTGACAGCTTGCATCAAACCCTTGATAAATGTTTTTAGGGAAATGTGAGACCTATCTTGTTTCAAAGACAATACGTTAGTTCTGAACAGGAATAGCGTTTTTGCACAAAGATATGAAGTACTGAAACAACTGTCTGCAGGAAAAACCCCATTACGGTAATGTATACAAGATTACACGTCTAATAAACCCTCCAAACATCGGAGGTTGGAGGTACTGTTTGAGCTGAGTCGGGGTTGTTCACAAGATATTTCACTACACACTCTGTGGTTGGGAACATGTGCAGCCAGCTACGGTTCCTGTAACCTATCATCTGTTCTCGCGAATGTGTTTGGGGTGGTAATAGTGAGTTTAGTTTTACGCCGCTTTTAGCGCAATTTTAGCAATAACAGAAATGGGCATCACATTGTGCATATATTGAGAATCGAACCCGGGTCTTCGGCGTGACCAGCGAACAACCCGCGGTATGTATTTAACCTAATAAAGGAATTCTCATTTCTCAAAAGTGCAAGTGTGATCATAGGCAGATCCAGGATTTTTTTAATTTTTTCTTATTATATTTTATTTGGTTTATTTGTTTTATTTATTTATTTATTTATTTTTTATTTAATTTTTTATGGGGTGGTGGTGGGATGTTGTGTGTTGTCCCGCACCCCCTGAACCACCACCACCCTTGGATCCGCAGATCAAATAAAAGCAATATGGATTTCATCCTCAATACTTTTATACAACACAATATCATCATTACATTGCCTCTTCTAATATATTTGATGCCTAGTGTATTACATGAATTTACATCCTGATCTAAATAAGTCAAATTAGTTCCAAATGAAACCTATTTCTCAGACAGTTGCGGAATTACATATAGGTAAAATACACATTGTTTTTACTTCCCCTTGACAACGACGAAGACCAGGGTTCGATTCCCCACATGGGCACAATGTGTTAAGCCCATTTCTGGTGTCCCCCGCCGTGATATTGCTGGAATATTGCTAAAAGCGGCGTAAAACTAAACTCAGTCAGTCAGTCCCCTTGACAAATCAGCGGAGCTCAACCTGGAGTAAATTCCTTTTATTAAAGGGAAGCTTCTGTAAACTAATCGTTTGACGTTTGATTAGATTCCAGAGTCTGCTGCAGTGCATGACCTACCATGAATTAGGTAACAGTTCGGACATATTTCGGCGAAATATAACTTTTTAGATTTGGAGAAAATGACCAGGTCGCGGTGCTCATAAAGAACGGATAAGGAAACATATTCACAAAGAACTTAGTTAAGCACCCCCTGACATCTCACGATTGAATGAGCCCCGATCTTAACCCTTTGGATCATGTGTTGGACATGACAGGTCGTCGCGTGTAACAAAGGGATCATCCTGTACAGAACCTGGCCGTGGTTTTCACGAGGAATGGCGTAGATTTCCCTTCAGAGGATCAGGAGACTGACAGGGGGTATGAGGAGGATGTGCTGGCTGTCATACAATCACATGGAGGTTACACTAGGTATTGAGTCCTTTAATCGTAAAAGACATGCAAAATGACATTTTTATGTTCACATTCACCAATGTGACATTCACCGTTATTATCAACTATCGTTAATGTTAAACTAGTGGGTGGTTTTAGTTCTAAACCGCGTTTAGCAATATTACAGCAATATCACGGCGGGGACAGCAGAAATGGGCTTCACACATTGTATCCATGTGGGGAATCGAACCCGGGTCTTCGTCGTGACGATCGAACGCTTTAACCACTAGGCTACCCAACATCTAAACTAATGTTACCGGTATTTGTCAAGTTAACTACAGCTATGCTGTTGGCACTGGGTGGACCAGGGCGGGTTTATCTACCAAAGTCTCCCACACTGGTGGACCTCACTGAACGCTTACTTGGTCATGCGTTGAGACAGCCTCCACGTATACATTCACAACCGTTTAGCAATATTGTTTTGCGTCTGACCCTTCCAGTAAAATTCTGCCCCTACAAACACGAGTCAGTATTAATTAATGTACGTCAAGGGTAAGCATAACAGCAACCTAGATATGCCAGGCTGTCATCTATCATAATTTACTGTCACAAAGGAGGCGGTGGGGTAGCCAAGTGGTTGTTAAAGCGTTCGCTCGTCGCGCCGAAGGCCCGGGTTCGATTCCCCACATGGGTACAATGTGTGAACCCCTTTCTGGTTTCCCTCGATCTGATATTGCTGGAATACTGCTAAAAGCGGCGTAAAACTATACTCACTCACCGTCTCAGTCACTACTGTCACAAAATGATGATGTGTTCACGTAAATTTATAAAACACATATTGTGTGCACAAAACACGATCAGCAACGCGCGATCAGTAAAAAATGAAACGTTGTCATTATCCCGCAACAATATCGGGTTACACTCATGCACCTCTTCCATGTGCCCAGGGTGCTTTACAGACCGTTATTCCTGTTTGTTACCATGCAAACATAATCGGCTACACATGCATTGTACAGCTTGGTCAGCTTGACCTGATCAAGTGAATACTAATGAATTACGTGGCCGTGTCACAACTGGTTGGGTCTATTATTGTGAAGGGGTGCATCTTTGTCAGTTGATTGTCAACATGTCCGAACAGCCGAGACAAAGTCGCCCTTTGACATCTCAGTGTCGAGAAACCGCCAGCAATGTCCTAACTTTCTTTAAACGTCAAAAAAAGAAGCTATAGATGGTTTAATGTTTCCGATCCGGGCTTTTAGGCAGCGAGCAGCAACATTCATAACATTTTCTGCTCCCCTATTTAATGAAGTTAACTCGACCTGCCGTTTTGTGCCATTTGACATCCCGGGTCATGCATATGTAGAGTAGCTCAGGTCAAGTTGAACAAGCTGTAATTATTGGCTTGAGTGTTAATCAGTTTATAACGTGAAACAAGATATATTACTATGCGCACAAACTGATTTAGTGGGACTGTACGCATGATTTTACGAACGCTTCCACAAACCTCAGAATTGTCTGTTGTCCACGGTCTTTTTCGGGGCATACATTGTTCACGGAATACAGATGGTTGATCTCTACTTCATATACAGTATTTCGAAGGTCTGGACTGACGATGTACTGCAAGAAATGAGGTAATATGGGAAGGGCAAGTCTGAGAGTGAGTGAGTTCGGTGTGCAGTACCACGTGAAATTACCACGTGTCAGCTTAACGAGGAGAGCTTAACGTCATGCATTCTAAAGATATCTGGTCATCTCAAATAGCTGATTATTTCGGATATCTGGTCATCTTAAATAGCTGGTTGTTTCGTGTATCTGGATGTCTCTAGTACTCTCTACTATCTAGCCATCTGAAATAGCTGGTTGTTTAGGGTAATTGGATGTCTCGAGAATCTATTCATCTCAAATACCTTGTTGTTTCGGGTACCTAGTCATCTCAAATAGCTGGTTGTTTCGGATATCTAGTCATCTCAAATAGCTTGTTGTTTCGGATATCTGGCCATCTCAAATAGCTGGTTGTCTCGATATCTAGTCATCTCAAATAGCTTGTCTCAAATAGCTTGTTGTTTCGGATTTCTGTCTGTCTTTAGTCATCTGGAATAGCTGTTCTTTCGGGTATCTGAATGTCTGGTATCTAGTCATCTCAAATAGCTGGTTGTTTCGGATATCTAGGCATCTCAATTAGCTGGTTGTTTCGGATATCTGGCCATCTCAAATAGCTCGTTGTTTCGGATATCTAGGCATCTCAATTAGCTG